GACAGAGACAGGAAAGCAGAGACTATTATGCGCGAGTGAGTGCACGTACAATACAATACGGCACATGTTTGTGTTTGACACTCCGACTGTAGCTTGTTTCAGAGAGAGAAAGGAGGAGAGAGAAGAAGATTTTAGTAGTATTTCTTTTTGGCAGTTGACCCGATCGTTAAATATACATAGATATCATCAAAGCAGAGACAATTCTCACCTGACCCCCCAGCCCACACAATCACACTCACTGACCTATACATACACCAAGACGCTACATACTAGCATGGGCCAATTAAAAATCTCTCTCTCTCTCTTATATGTACATATACTATTATTTTATTATTATATATATTATAAGCAGATATATAGGATGCACCATTCCAATTTCCAACAAGCTTCTATCACTATCAATTAATCTTCTACTTTCCCCAATTTCCGCCGGGGTTTTTTCATTTCTGAATCGAAACAGCATAGAGTGATGATAATCACCTTGTCGTTTTCTTCATTATAACAATCCACTCCGGCGTTAATTCCACCGTTCTCGTCATCAATTTTCGGCCTCTTCGGTGGTTTGCCACCATCCTCCCCGAATGATGAGGTCAATTGGTCCACGCGCCGCGTCCGGCTCGGCTGCGGAGCCGCCGACGCAAGCTCGCCGCCGCTTTCGAGTTTGAGGAGGAGCTTGAGCTGCTTCTGCTTGCGCCGCTGGTCCTCGTCGTTCTCGAAGATTTCGTCGTCGTCGTCGAAGTAGTCGTCTAGGTCGAAAAAGTACTTCACATTCCGGCGGCGGTGGCTCCGGCGAAGGTCGCGCTCCGTCGGCGGTGCCTCGTGGACGACGCCGGAAATGGAATCCGCCTTTTTAGGCCTCCCTTTCGTCTTCTTCTTCACTATCTGGCCCATTGTTAATTTTGTTCCGCTGTACAATTTTCTCTCTCTAAAAAAAAAAAAAAACCCTCACCCACTTTCTCACTCTGATTTTTTATTTATTTATTTTTTTTGCTTTTCTTTCTCTCTCCTCTTTTACTGCAATTGTTATCTGTAGAGAGTGTGGGGGGTGTGTTGTGGTTTTAATTTTACTTTGTTCTGTAGCTTTTTGCTTTTTCTTTTCGTTCGGTTTGGATTTGTCCGAGCCTGATTCCGAAGCTGATACACGCCTAAAAATCAAATTGTTTTATTTACTCCATTCCCCAGTCAGATTAATACCATTTTATTATAATAATATTTGACTGTTTTCCAACTATTTATCTTTTTTCAGAGATTTTTTTATTATTTATTAAATGGTATACATAACATTTGTTGAACTAATATGATGAATATTTGTAAGTTGTAACTAATATGTTACTTCATTCTCCAATTACTGTTGTACAAATTTTACTGAAATGTTAAATACTATTTTAATATTATTAATACCGTTTTAATTTCTAAAGTGATTTTGAGCATTTTCTAATCTGATTTTGGCATAATTTAAAATAGGAAAACTTAGTAGTCCTAGGGTAGGGGCTTTCACCTTCACCAAAGAATCACTAAATAGTGTAATTTGAAAATCTTTCCTAATAGATGATGAGTATCGTGATGCCATAATTCAAATGGTTCTTATTATGTCCGGGAGGTGCAATTGAAGATTGTTTAATTTACCATGTGCGAACTAATTCCGCTTCAGGGGAATATCGAATCTGTTGAATTTGAATGCCTATCAAAGTCCACTCATCTGTTGAGACAGACTACATGTTACGACATTAGGTGACGTAACAGAATTGTTGTGTTGTCACAGTAATAAATCTACGAAAAGCAGAATAAAGAACACAACAATTTAATGTGGTTCGGATACAAACGTACCCTACATCCACGAGGACTTGCAAAACTAGTTCAGATTTATGTGTACATTAATAGGACTTAATAAAACACTAAAGACTCCCTCTTTATGTGATACGCCGTTCTTGCACACGACTCGAACTTGTTGATAATCAAAGCAATTCCTCCTCCGCACTCTTGGACTTCCTCCAATGTTGAACTTCCTTCAAACGGCGGATCGACCTCTCCCGAGATCTTTTAAGCACTTCTCCCGAAACGCCGATCTTCTTTATGGCCTGGTAGAAGAAACCTGTTCTGTTGCCACACCTGCCGTGCAGACAGGGCTGCAGCACGGGCTGCACCCTTCAAAGCCTTTATGCTGGAATTTATCTTTTTAAAGCTCCATCGGACTCATATGAGGTTGAGGGCCTTATATAGGCACGAAATCCACCACCCTAAACCTAACTTGGGCCCTAAGAAATCGATTAACTAGGTAATAGAATCCTAGTCGATTTCTACTTCTATTCTAGATAAGTACAAAAGATACCTAACTAGAATATAATACATGGAAATAAATCTAAGTCCTAATAACAATATTACAAAAATAGGACTCTAATTAATTCCAAAATAAACATGGAAAACAAATCTTTGCCAATCTTTAATTTCCACGTATGGCGGATTTCTTCAATCTTCACAAATAGAAATCTCGTGCCAACAATCTCCCCCTTTGGCATAGATTGGTTAGAATCCATGTTTAACAAGAACTCCCCCTGCAGATGAGATTTACTCCCCCTGCAACACAGATGCCACTTTTCTTCACCCGTCTGGTCTTCTATCAGAGTGTCCCATCACGGGGCACGTTACAACGCAGCGGAATTGGGTGAATGCCGTGACAGACTTCCGTCTCAACCTTCCTTGTGAACACACGTCATCCAATAAGCAAAGCAAACAAATCAAAACCCAAAATCAGACACTAAGTATATCTAGTGACCCGCTCTGATGCCAATTGTTGAATTTGAATGCCTATCAAAGTCCACTCATCTGTTGAGACAGACTACATGTTACGACATTAGGTGACGTAACAGAATTGTTGTGTTGTCACAGTAATAAATCTACGAAAAGCAGAATAAAGAACACAACAATTTAATGTGGTTCGGATACAAACGTACCCTACATCCACGAGGACTTGCAAAACTAGTTCAGATTTATGTGTACATTAATAGGACTTAATAAAACACTAAAGACTCCCTCTTTATGTGATACGCCGTTCTTGCACACGACTCGAACTTGTTGATAATCAAAGCAATTCCTCCTCCGCACTCTTGGACTTCCTCCAATGTTGAACTTCCTTCAAACGGCGGATCGACCTCTCCCGAGATCTTTTAAGCACTTCTCCCGAAACGCCGATCTTCTTTATGGCCTGGTAGAAGAAACCTGTTCTGTTGCCACACCTGCCGTGCAGACAGGGCTGCAGCACGGGCTGCACCCTTCAAAGCCTTTATGCTGGAATTTATCTTTTTAAAGCTCCATCGGACTCATATGAGGTTGAAGGCCTTATATAGGCACGAAATCCACCACCCTAAACCTAACTTGGGCCCTAAGAAATCGATTAACTAGGTAATAGAATCCTAGTCGATTTCTACTTCTATTCTAGATAAGTACAAAAGATACCTAACTAGAATATAATACATGGAAATAAATCTAAGTCCTAATAACAATATTACAAAAATAGGACTCTAATTAATTCCAAAATAAACATGGAAAACAAATCTTTGCCAATCTTTAATTTCCACGTATGGCGGATTTCTTCAATCTTCACAAATAGAAATCTCGTGCCAACAATATTGTGTGACTAAATTTTCCTATGTCATGTTTGGTAATTTTTTATGACCATTTGAAAAGACAAAATCTTATTGTTACAAACACCTATAAATTTTCAATTGATACGAAAATACAATGATTCTAAAGTTTGAAAATACCTTCTCCTACGAACGAAATCTTGAAATTATCAACATCATTTTAAGACCATAATTTTAGGATTCTCTTGTGAGAACCTTATCATAAGAACCTTATCGTACGCACATATCCCACCCATCTTCTCGGCGCCTTTGACCCTACACTCGGGACACGTGTACTTTTTTTGTATTTTTCTAAAATCTCTACAGGTTAAACCAAGTCGGGGAATATATATTAATTAATTAATTAAATATGACACGTGTCAACAGAGGCCCACCAGGTGTTTATCACCGAGTGTAAAGTCGAAAGAACCCATCTCCTCCATCGTCCTTCAAATCCCTCGTGAGAACCTTATCGTAAGCACATATCCCAGCCATCGTGGTCTTTAATCGAACGCAGCTTTCAAAATCAATTATAATATTCCACAATTAAGTAATTAATTAATTAATTAATTAAGGGTTAGTGGATCACTAATCAAAAGTATATAATTGGTATATTTATAAATTATTTAATTGAAATATCTTTAAAATTTAG